AGAGACAGCGAGGACCCATGTGTTGACGGCGTCTGACGTGTCCCTTGAACTTTTTGTTATAATTTTTTAAAAAAAGAAAGAGGAAAAAAGTCACTGAGTAGAAGCAATGGGTAGGCTCTGGGTTAAAATGTAGAAAGGTCTGTGGAGAAAGCTCCAGTTTCTATGAAAATTAAATAAAATAACTAAAAACCAAAAACATCCTGTCCTTTCTCTTTGGAATGGTCTCAGAAGTGCTTGACAGGTTCGGGGGTACAAATGGTGGCCCTGGCCCTCTTTTGCTGGTGTTATCGAGAAATTTAGAGACCACATCAGATTGTTTTCAGAGTCACCCCTGCAGTTTTCAGCCAAGACTTAAAAGAAGTGCCTGATAGGTTAAGTTAAGTGGATTAAAGGGAGGAGAGCAAAGATCGTTTTTCGGAGGGGGGGTGGTCAGAAGAGACAAAAAGATTTATAAGACAGTGAAAAGTGAAGCTAGAAGAAAGAATGAACAAAGATAAAATATGGGTGAAAAGGAAAGAGAAAACATCACTTATGACAGCAAACAGTATTATCTATTCTTGTCCTCTTTTTCCTTTACTCCTTTCCTTTGTGGGAATCTCTTAAACTGAAAATTTAGGACTAGATATGAGCTGAAAGTAACAGGTGAATGGCAAGTATCCTGGGTGAATTGCTTTTTCTCCCTGATCAAAAAGTTAAAAAAAAAAAAGTATAAAGAGAGTTATATGCAAAAACAATTGTGATTAAATTCAATAGATTTTAAAAAGAACTTGAAAGGAAGGAATTAAAGAGAAATTAAACTACAGAGAGATAATCTTCGTGTAGGGACGCATAAAGGAGAGAAAAAGATTTTCCTATCCGCCCTTCTGATTTGCTCCCAACGGAATAATCCTGGGCACTGGCAGGCTATAGGGCAAATGGACAGATGCTTCCAGAAAAGATTATCTTTTATCTGTCACTCGGGAAACAGCTCAGGTCCTATGACTGCTGACTCTATGATCTAAGCCTTGTATGCCATTGCTATATGTGTCAGGCAGGAAAAAACTGTAATATTAATAATAAGAAGAGAAACTAACAATTACTGAGCACTGACCAGGTATGAAGCACTTTACATACATAATCTCACTTAATTCTCTCCAGAACTTTATGGCTGTGATTATCCCCATTTTACAGATGAGGAAATTGAGACAATGAAAAGGACCAGTTGGTAATTAGATGGATTTTTCTGTACTTAACCTCAGCAGCAGCGAGCTTCGGCTTTCTTGCTTAAGTAGAAATTCACACACTTCACCCTCTCTTCCCACAGTCTAACACAAGGTCCTTACAAGTTAAGATCCTAATGTAGACCTTTCACTTCCGGGGTCATCTTCCAGCAGGGACTTCCACTGGCTGATCCCCCTGCTAGTGTTGCATAATACCATCTAGCCCTTCCCGAAAGTCAAGTTTGCATCAGTATCTGAGCAGTACTAAAGTCAGTAAAAGCCCTTTGGCCTAAGTGACAAAGCTCAGCCTTCCTCATTGCAAGGAGTTCTGAGGGTGCTGAGGGAAGGCAGGAAGGAGGCTCTGAGACACTTGGAACAAGGACGAAACCTTCGCACACTGACCTCTCCGTGTCCACTCTGGGCCTTAAAGACTCCCAACTTCTCCCTCACTGAAGACCTCAGCAGAATTGCCAGCCATAAAGCCCCTTGCTGTGCTATGAAGAAGCAGTCTATAAACCCAACAGAGCCCCCCAACCTTGGCCCGTCTACCAACCTATTAATCCAATAAATGGACTGTTTCTTTCATTCTCAAGGAATCCTTGTCCTGTCTAGCTCTGATTTCCCTGGTGATCAAAAGCACCAGAGGAAATCCATCTTTGCTACTAGTCCTCACACTGGGATCTTAGACTGTCCAGCTCCAGCGCCAACCTCGCCTCCTTCCACCAAATCACCAGACTTTGCCAAGAGCACTTAGCCTAAAAGATGGGTTGTCACTTTGAAATCCTGCAGGACTGGGCTAGGTGTGGTCATTAAAACTTCCCATCGGCTTCTGACCCGCAGCCCCATGCCTGCTTTGTCCTTCAATTACTGATTTTCTGGTCAGCATTTATTTTAGGCAGTTGCAGTATGAGCTAAGTTCCAAATATTCTTTCTCCAAAAAAAGGGGACCAAAAATCATGATAAAAATGCAAGCGAGGGCTACTAGGAAAAGAAAAAATGGGGAGCAGCTAAAAATCAAGATTTAACGATGCAACCTAAACTGCAAACCTTAATATTGTAAAACTGTAATTAGTTAAAGACACTAGATGAAATACATTTTAATTTGGGGTCCATGGAGCCTAGGGGGGGTCAGGAACTCCCTGAAATTGTATGTAAAATATCGGTGTTTTTCTTTTATTTTTCCCTTTTTTTTTTGCTTGTTTTGTTTTTCTGGGAAGAAAGTCCATAGCTTCATTAGGTTATCAAAGAGAGAAAAATTTATTTATATCTCCAATGCCTAGAAGAAGGGCTGATACATAGAAGGACATCAATAAACATTTGCTGAACAAACATCCAACGTTTGTTGAATAAATGAATGAATGAAGGGGGTCTGAGTTCTAAAGCGCTGGATTCTACAGACGGAGAAATGGAGGCCTCGAAAGGTCATAAACCTAAGTGGTCAGGACCTCATAGAATTAGCTCTTTTAATTCTCTCCACAGCTAGTCAGTCTTCTTGTTTTCCTCTTTAACCTAATTGTGTCTTTCACTCCATTTCACTTTTCTCCCTCCCAATCCCTTTCTTTTCAAGCAGAGAATTGCATCTTGTTTCCTAGGTAAAAAGTTGCCTCTAAGAGCATGTCCTGAAGATGAGGTGGGGGAGCAGACAGTGGGGAGAGTCGATGAAAAAGGCCGCCGGGATAATTCGTGTGTGATGGCACACACATACCATCCCTGTGTGCTGAGGACGTAATTAATATGGCATCGAAATGGCTGCCGTTGATGGAAATATGTAAAGCTGAAATTGTGGCATTAGATGGAGGGGTAGCAGAAAATCTTAAACTAACCAGGCCAAGCAGCTGTCTGATGAGCAGGTGACCTGCAGCATTCCAAGAGATATCTGGGGCCAGAATCAAATGGACCCCTGCTTGGTTTGAAAGCTCCTCTTGAGGGTCTTCCTTGCTTGTAAAGTAACGAGGGGATCCTGGGAGAATTCAGACTGGGCTTTATTATCCTCCTAACAGTTCACAATCAAGACCAGCAGGCAAGGTGGAAGAGACTCAAACTGCCACCCAGAGGAGAGAAATAAGGGAGAGGGGCCTAGGTCTCATGGAGCGGCTTCAGCTAGGAGATTGGGAGAGAGACCAATACTCGGATTCTATGACACAGCAGATTTCTTGTGCTGACGACTTCCTCAGCAGACAGAGACCAACGTGGAGGCTCTGAGGTCTCGGCCACGTAAGAGGAGAGAAGAGAGCCCTGCCCAAACTAGGGATGCCCCTGGAATGCTAATCACCAGCAGAAGAAACTTTCGGTAAACTCTCCTTTGAACCTTGGCATCCTAAATGCAAGTCATTTTGGAAAGGAATCTGTTACAACGTCCTGGATTGTAGTTATCGATTATCTGTATTATTTGTAGTGCTAGGAAATATTTACTGAAAAAGAAAGATCCCGGAGTAGACAATAAACAACCTGGGTTTGAGTCCCAGCTGTGTGACTTTGGTAAAATCACTTAACCTATCGGAACCTCTGTTTCTTGACATAAAAAATTGGTCTCTATATCATCTACAGCTCTTTCCAGCTTTTGCAGGCTACATATTATATCTAAGTTTGAGGTTTAACCCATCAACAGATTTTTCAAACGTGATTAGAAGAGGTTACCCTACAGGCAAGAAAACCCCACTGCTCATATTATTTTCTTAGATTTCTCTACAACACAACTGAAATATCAATTAAAGGGGAGGGGAGAGGGAGATATTAACCTCTTGGAATGAACAACAATGCTATTGCTCTAAGACAGATGCTGCAAACTTCAGATGCTTATATTCAAAAGGAGAATTTAAAAGAAGTTACGTCCAGTCAATGGTTTGAAGACCTCGCCCTTGCTTTCCATGGTGGGATGATAGAGGATTCCAGTTAATTTATTTATTATCTGAGCTCCACTCTCAAAATGTAAACATTTCACCAAACCTATGTCACAGTCATTTAATTAATATACCAGATGGGTCCACTTGTAAGGATCTGCAGGTCTTCCACATAACGTGCTTCTGTTCTGCCACGAGCCTCAAGTCTCCCTCTAAGACTTCTGGCAGCTTCCTACGTTTTGCTCACATGCATCCAAGGATTAGCCAGGTAGCTCGGTTGCTCCCTTCATCACAAAGCTCACAGCCCTGGGCTTTCAAAATTCTCTGCCAAGCTCTGAACTGACTTCCCCAATAAGAATCACAGTATCACTCTGAGGCTCAGAAAGCAGCTAAACAAATCTCTGTAGCCAAGGAGTTTGCTGGTGAATAGGAAAAGTAAATGTATTTAGAGTTTAATGCCTGATCCTTCAAAAGAAAAATCAATAACCTCAAACTCTTCCTACCTAGCCTATGTTGAACTCCAGTTAAGGAGACGTAACTCAACGTTTTGGTTTCCTCAGAGAAACCGAGCACACCAAACGACCTCTCGAGGCTCCACCACCTCTGGGCCCAGAGAGGCCTGAAACAGCCCCGGAAGCAGGGGTGCAGAGGGAACTGTGGGCCCAATGAGTGAGGCCTGTGCCCTCAGTACTAGGGGTTCAGAAGTCCCCAAACTTCCAGGCCAAAGTCCTGCTAGGGGATAAGACAGGAAGAGAGGGTCTGCCTCGTGGAGCACTGTGCCCTCCCTTATGACCTCTATCACGGGTGCCTTTCTTTGCCAAAAGCTCAGCCATCAAGGACAGTCCCCAAGCACTGGATCCCTGGCTTCCCTGTGTCTCATTACCAAGTGAGGAGAGAGTACGGAGGCCCCTTGCGTCTGCCCAGGCCAAGGGGCCGGGGGCTGAGGCATCTCTGCACTTACCTGGGACTCCAGGGCTCACCGGTAAAGACTCTTCAGCTCCTGTGGTCTCTGAGACCCCCTCCTGCAGTGGCCACCCTCATGCAGAGCTCCAGCTGTTAAGACAGGTTTGACCACCTGAAAGGGCAAAAAGATGGGGAAGGTTACTCTGCTGGCTCCGGAGAAGAATGGGAGAGGTTGGGGGCTGGGACATTTCATAGGTCATTTCAAGGAGTGGGGAGGCTGAAGGGAAGGAAAAGGGCAGAGGAGCCAAAAGCCACAAGGCAGAGGTGCTGATGCAAGAGGAGAGCTTTTCAGAGATGCCAACAGTTTGAGAAGTCTCGGGACAGAGACGGTCTCGGTCTGAGATTGCAGCAAATGTGCCCAGTACCTTTGACTCAATCCCTTCTTTTGTCTCCAGCCTAACACAGGTAAGGCAGAGGGACTCAAAGCAACCACAGGTCTTGGAAAGAGGACAGAAGGGGCCAAAGACCCAGACACACGGAGGGAATCTGGCTCTAGCCTCGGGTAGGGGAGTAGAGGCAGAGGGGAGCAGTGCAGATGCAGAGCAGCCAGACGTGGGCCTGAGAGTGAGAGCATGCAGAACCCCCTAGCCGGGTCCAGCCACTAGGGGGCAGGTAGCGGGGAGGGGGCTTCGTGGCGCCTTCGCCCCTTCCTTAGCTCCAGAGCCGAGCCCTGGTCTCAATTTTCTAACACAAGCAAAAGTTAAGCTAGTTGACTGGGCTCGAGGGACTAAGTTTCCCCAGCGGCTTCCTGGACACTTCCCCCTCCCCAGGGAGAAGCAGACTGGGTGAGAAAGGGTCTTGAGCTGCTGCCCCCTTCCCGACAGGGGCTCCAGAGGTTGGCATCAGATCCAAGTGCCTGGAAGTTTCCATCAGGCCCCTGGCTTACTAGATGACGTGGCTTTTTTCAAGAGAGGTGTGCATTAGCAGTTTGAGGGTTCAAAGAGATCCACCCCTCCCCCCACCCCCGCCGCCCTCCCTCCTCAGCAAAGGCAAGGTGGGGAGAAAGGGGGAGATCAGCTCGCACTGGCCTCAGGCTGACGCAACCTCCCTAAGGAGGAAAGGAAACACGCACCCAAAGCCACAGATTTTCACTTATTGTGAAGGGAAAGGGGAGGGGGTCCTTTTCTCTGATCCCATCCGGAATGAGACACCCTCTCCGCAAGCCCCCCGGCCCAGATCAAAAGTGAGAGGCCAGCCCCGGGCATGCGGCCGCCCCAGCAGCTGGGCTGCAGCAGGAGTAGCTCCAAGGCAGCAACAGTTGTCTGGCTGAGGCGAGGCGAGGCGAGGACTCGCTCTGGAGCGCACGACGCCGGCTTCGGCCGGGCGCTCCCGGGCTCTGAAGTCTCAGCCCCAAACCTAGCCTCTGTGGGAGAAGTGAGGGGACTAGGGACGCAGGAACCCCGAGCCGCCTGCGCTCCGGTGGCTCAACCCTTTCTGTGCAAATTCACTTCTCTCAGGTCACCTCCCTCCCCAATCTGGTGGAGGCTAAGGCTTTTGGAGAGAGGAGAGCTTTCTGGCTGGGGAGAGGAGGGGGATGTAAGAAGCAAAAGACAAAAGAGGAGCTGAAGGGACACAGGGTGAAGCTATTTTTAATCTAATGTGGCTCGTCTGCGTCTCACTCCGCGAAGCAATCGCTCCACAGACGGCCCCAGGTGAGAGGCAGGGAGGAACCCCCCCAGGGCTTTTGCTTTTGCTCCATTCTCCTTTGCAGATCTTAGGGACCCTTTTACTCTTTCAGCAAAAGCAATCAGGGAGGGGAAATCTCCTTTATCTGGGGAGAAGGACTCTGATTTATCCCCAGAACGTGGAGTCCTCGCCTTCGGTGCCTTCTCGCAGGCTGCGTTAGAACAGATTGACTCTGTCCAGCATTCTCGGACTCCGTAGCCCTTTCCTTATTCCGGAGAGGGTCGAGGCTGGGCGTTCAGCTAACCGAGACTGGAATGATGGTGGGCGTTTAGCTTGCTGGAAGAACGGTGTTTGGGGTGCGGGGGTAATTCAGGCCCTCCCCGAAAATGGGAAGCTTCGTAGCCCTCGGGTCTTGGACTGTCGGATCCCTAGACTCATCCTCTATCCGTGTTCATCCCTCTGGGCACCCGTGTGTGTCTGTGTGTCCTTCTGGTCTAGTCCCTAAGGGCGTCTAGCAGTGTTTCTAGCTAGCGAAGGGCACGGGGCGCAGAGCGTGGTGAAGGCCTGATTTGTGCACTTGTAACCGAAGTGATCACTACTGCAAGGAGTGCAAGGGGAGTACAGGGACCCACAGACAATCCCCAATCCTGCAGCTCTGCCTGCCTGCCCAGGACGGGGCTCCTGGAGAGGCCAGGACCGGGCTGCCTGCTGCTTCTGCCTAGCTGCTGAGTCGGGCGCAATTGCCTTTCTCCAGAGCTCCTTCTCTTCGGGGGTTTCCCCAGTTTTCGCCAGTTTTATCCCCTTCCGAGGTACTTAGTTTTGAAAAAGACGAGATAGGGGAGACCCGAGGCTGCAAAACGCCCCAAATTAGGTTGGAAGCAGGTGCGGGGGGAAGAAGAGACTCCGGGGAGCGGGCGGTGCCTGGGTGTTTTCCCTCTTTTTCGGGGCTACCCAATTCACGGCGGCTCGCCTCCCCTCCGGGTCCCCCGCGCTAGGACAGAGGATGCTGAGGCCTCCTGCCCCTCCCTCAAGGGCTTCCCCACCCCCATATTGCAGACTTGGAGCATTAGGGTCAAGAATGACCAGAAAATGTCCTAAACTGATTTATATTCCAGGTACTGATTTGGCCCTAAGACCAGATCCTTTTTTTTTTTTGCAGCGTGTGAATGGGCTTATTGGGGGTGTGGGCGGGGGCTGGGGGGGAAGACACAACTTCTGTAAACTTTTATTGTATTTTAGCTTCTTCCCAGTTCTCCGAAAACACTCGCACACCGCCTGTTCCAATTCCCCCTGTGATACAAAGTCGATTTAAAAGTTGGGGGCGGGGGACTCGAGCAGAGGACAGGCAGGGGACCAAAGCCTCAGGGAGCGCGGGAAGGACGGGAGGGAAAGGACTGATGCTTCCGTGGAAAACGGGGAAAGGGCTGGGAAAGGCTCGGCTCGAGCCTCTTCGGGAAGGCGCGGGCTTCGGCGATCGCTCGTGGCTGCCGTCTTCTCGACGAGCGCGCCCTCCGCGAATGCTTTTTGGGGTAAGGGCTTCCGGCTATTGAGTTATGTACAGCAAGCCCAGACCGCAAAAAGATTCGCGAAGGGCAGAGTCTGTCGGCTTCTTCAGTCCGCTGCAGCCGCCGCCTTCAGCCCAGGATGTCTCCGAACCCCGGAGCCGAGCCGGCTGGGTCTCCCCAGCGCGCTCCAACGCGGCTCAGCCTTCCCACCTCGCGCGCCGCCCGCCCCTCCCCGCGCCCCCCAACCCATGCCTCCATTTCTCTACACCGTCCGCGATCCCCCAACTCAGCCCGCACAGCCGCAAGCGAGGTGTGTGAAGGGCGAGAAGAGGGGCGCAGAGGGGGACTAGGGATCACGGCGCCCAGCCTCCACCCCTCTCCCGTAGCCCCAGCACCCTGAGCCTCCCCGCCTATCTGTCCTGTCACCCCCATTCCCTTCTGGCAGGGTTCCGCCAGCCCTGGCTGCAAGGTCGCAGATCTCCGAACAGGTACAGTTCGGACTCCCCCTGAACCCCCTCTTGTCCCTTCTAGTCCCCCAGCAGAGGTTCCAGCCGTGACTACAGGCGCTGCGTAAAGAGAAAAACTCCCCCAGAGCACTAAATAAATACAGACGAGGCCGCCAGCTCATTGGTGCGGACTAAAATCGTCACCCACCAATCAGGAGAGAGCTCACATTTCCCTTTTTTTTTTTTCAGAAGGGGGAGGGAGGAAAAAAAATATTTCCATTTCTAATTATTCACCAAAACCCAGACTGGAACACGTTAAAATATTGTTGTTGCAAAAAAGCTGGCCAGGACGCCTACCCCCATTCCCGCCCAGGTGAGCGGAGGGGCGCGAGATACTGAGAAAAGGGGGTCAAGACAGCGACCTCTCTCAACGAGACTGAAGCCAGGAGGTTCAGACAGAAAATGACAGGCAAAGATGAACATGAAATAAACCCGAACTCCACGCTAGTCAGCCTATTTCTAGAAAAATGAGAATGTCTCAACCCACCCCCCGTCCCCGCCCCCAAAAGTTCTGAATGCTCAATAGGAAGGGTGCAGCTCCTCCCTTCGCACCCTCCCCCAAACCGGTCTAGATATTGGGTGTCTAATGGCCCACTCGCCTTAGGTGCCCTTTGATTGCTGCAGCCGCCCCCCGACCCCCACCCCGCGCCCGGTCCCTACTACCCATTCTGCAGAATGTTGAGCGGAACAACAAGGGGCGAACCCCTCATTGATCGCCGGCTCCAAAAACGACGGGAGTTTCCAGCATCTTCAGGAGCAAGGAGACCGGAGGGGAAGGGAGACTAGGGTGGAAGGAGGAGGGAGGAGATCTCTTTCCTTCGTTCTCCCTCCTTCCCTCTTCTCTCTGTCTAGGCTCCCTCCACCATCCCATCCATCCAAACTTTGAGGGGTTGCTCTCCTTTCCAGTGCAGCGCCACCCTTCACGTGTCCTCTCTTGCCACCCCCATCAGTGTCCAAGATGGGTGTGGGCAAAAGAACGTTCCGACCGTCTCCCTCCCCAGTGGTAGTCCCCCAGTGAGGAAAAACTCAGCCAGGGTGGGATGTTGCAAACATTGCAAGAAAGTTGACATATTTGTTCTTTGCCACCTGGAATCGACGTGCGGGCGGCCACGGGCGCGCACACAGACTCTTGCTCAGCATGCTCGGAGAAAACGTATCTAGACGAAGTAGTTACTGTCTCGAAGTCCCTGTCGACCCACCCCCTCCGCCCATCCATCACCCTCCTGCTGCTCTGCGACCCACCCACCCTCCCACAGCATCCGCTCGGCTCGGCGACCAACAGACGCACGCACACACCCTCCGAGAGTCGGCGCGCCCGCCGCGCCAGAGGGGGCTCCACAGTCCGCGCCCTCCGCAGCGGCGGCGCCCGGCAACTGGAAAAAAAGTTCTGCTCAGCAGACCAGTGAGCATACCGACCACCAGCCGACCAGTGCATCAAGCCTCTTCTCCTTACCTCGGGCAGGAGGCTTCGGGAGCGCGCTGGTCCGGTCCGCACTGCAGCCAGCTTGAAGGAGTCCGTCTCCAACCGGCCCGCTCCCTCCTGCCCCTCCCTGCCCCCCACGAGTGTTTGCCCAGCTGCACAGGAGGCTCATCCAGGTAAGTATATAAGTTATTGTACTGTGTGGGAGGGTCACGATCTTGGTAATTGAGGCTTTCCGAGCTTAACCCCTGCGTTCCGGCCTTCCTCCAACTTGTTGAGGACTCGTCGGGTAGCGGGGAGAGAGCGAACGAGCGAGCGAGCGAGCGCGCCGGAGAGCGCGCCGGCCCGGAGGGGTGAGAGTGCACCGGGCAGATTGGGGAGAGCGAGACAGCGAGCGGCGGAGTTCAAATGCCCCCCTGGCAGCGGTTTTCATTGGATAAGTCTTTCCCCCCCACCCCCGTCCCCCCCTGACTTGGTCCCCCCTACCCCCCCGTCTCCCATGTAGGGGACGTCTCCAGGCGAAGTCACGATTCCTTCTCAGTTCGGAATGAACTGTGACTAGAGCCATGACGCAGCCAGCGCGCATTACTCACTTTTTGCAGTCACGACTTGGGAATCCGTGCTGGTTCCAACCAAAATTACACCGCTACCATTGAATTATTTAATAGGATCCAGTTTGGGGGTAAACTTATGCATTGTGCCAAGCGATGAAGGAGGGGGTACGGGGGAAAGTGAGGACGTGGGGCGTTCTGCCCTCCCCCTTCATGACTCTAGGATCCCCCTCCCCAACCTCTCCACGTGTTGCAAGTGCTTTATTGCGATACCACCCTCTCGGCCGCTCCCCCCGCCCCCAGCTATTTCTTTTGTAAATATGGCAGAATTTGTAAACACAGCCACGCAATTTGCGGGGCTGACAGGGGCGAGGCTTGGGAAAGGGAACGAGTAGGTCTGGGTAAGTGACGAGGAGGCCGAGGGGTGGGCCGAGAGGCTGCGAGCAGCTTTGGTTTGAGCTGAATTGTCAAGGCAAAGTGTAGGTTGCAGCGTTACTTGTGTTATTCTCTACAACATCAGTAACAGTCCTTGTTACTATTATGAGTTGACGAATACTCAGTCTCAGCCAGGGAGTCTTCCCAAAGAAGGACTACTTCTGAGCTAAAAATAACTCGACCCACCCTCTTTTTCTTCCCCCGCCCCCCCAGTGCTGCGCTTCGGGTGTCCTGCGTGGGGGTCAGGTTTCTAAAGCCAGAGGCTGTTGCTGAATTAGGATGGGGAAGAGGGAGCAGAGAGTGCCTGGGCTCTCCTTTTCTCTCGCCTGAAGGCTAGCGCCCTCAGATACTTACCTCACTGTCCGGAGTTTATTTATTTTTTAATTATATAGGAAATACCCTTGCATGCACACAAGCTTACTGCAGATCTGCAAGATTGCTTCATTTCCTCCTCCGTCTACAGCCCACCCTCGTGGGCCGGTCTGAGGATGCATTTTTATTATTCCTCTCTGAGGAGTTAATCAGTATGAATGTCTTTGTGTGCGCGTGATATTCATCCCCCCTCTGGCCTCTGATAACCTTCCTCCCTCCTCACCTGTCTGGCTACAGGTTTGGCCAGAGTGTCTGGAGCTGACTGCAGAGAGTCTCACTCTGGGTCAAGCCCATAACCCCAGGGAGGTGATGGTCTCCCCAGTAACACTTGGCAACTTGGAGAAGAACCCCCTCTCCCCAGTTTCCCATGGAGCCGGTTTTCAGAAACCCTTCTGGCTTTTGGCTTTAAGACACCGCGCGATGTTCTCAAGCCTGGATTCTCTGTGCATCACACCAGCAAATCCTGTGCTTTGGCTTCTAAATCATTCATTCCACCAACTCATTTGGGGCTCCTAGGACTAGGACGCGAAGGAAGGGGGAATAGTAAGAAACATGCCATAATGCACCGACACATCCTTACACACTTCATGGGAATTGCAGAATGGGGGGACGTGGGGGCAGAAAGTAGGAGGGGACGAGGGTCCCAATAAAGCAACCTATAGCCTCTTATTTTGAGAGTCGCCATCACCGGAGAGAAGTCTTTCAAACCCACTGGCGGGAAGGTGCGGGCGCCTGGGAATGGAGACCCAGATAGTGCCTGGCCTCTGCGGAGAAAGCCGGTGAGCCACCGGCTTTCGGTTCCTGGAGCGCTGGGCCTTGGCTCATCCTCGAATCTAACACTTTGCTCCCCCTCCTTTAAATTTTTTTCTTTTTTTCTTTTCCTTGCCACTCAACCCTCTTTTCCCCCAAAGCTCTCACCGAAGTCACGACTATCCCCTTTGAACATCCTTAACCCCCTCCTCTCCGTATCCCTCTTCTGCATCCAGGGCAGGGCTACCCGCAGCTGGCGCCAATCCTGCCCCCTGGCGCTCAGAGCTGAACTCGCTGAGGACCAAGGAATTTTCAGCACCTGCCTTCTGTGGACAGCTACCGCGCCCTGGGCCAGCCGGCACCAGGGTCGCGGTCTTCGGGCTCCCGGACCGGAGCGAGCAGGGAAGTTCGTCAAAGGAATAAGGATTGTCCCCTCTCTTTACCTCCCAGCCCCATCCATGCAATTTTAATCCATATCGCATCGTCTCCATTAATCTCTCAGAGAGATGGCCCATTGAGTCGTATCTGGGCACCCTTTAAGACAGAGAGAGTGGGGAGGGGAGGGGGCAGTCGAGAGAACCGGGCTCCACAGCGCCGACCCATAAAGAGAGAGCGAGTTGCAGCAGCTATTGATTCAGAGATTCGTCAGGGTGATTCCCGGTTCTGCAAGAATTCCCCCTTTCAGTTCCTTTGCATGCAGCCCAAAATTCATTATGCACACGCGCAGCTATGTCCCTCACCCCCTACTCAGTCCCACCCTCCTCTTTAGAGAGAGTTAAAGAGAGCCAAAAAAGAACCCCAGAGCATGCACAAAGTAAGCCTTAGCTCATAGTCACAGTCTGCGGCATGCACATGACATAATATTACTTACCCAAACGGGAACTCCTTAAGAGAGAGAAAGAGAAACATAGGGGGAGGGAAGAGAAAGTGGAGAGAGAGAGGGAGACAGGAGAGGAAAAATCCAACAATTAATTTCCAGACATAGTTGGGGGGCGGGGGGAATGCGGTGATGTCCAGGTTTTCTTCCACCCGCGCCGGCTTTTTATCCCAGTGCAGCCCTCGGTCTATTTCTGGAACACGATCAAACCCTGATGCTATTTTTAGCAAGTACTGAAAAAACCTCCACACACAAAGGCATTTCGCTGGAACGTTACGTCCAAAACATTAAATGTGCATTAAGCGCCCCCTCCCCACTTTTTCCTGCACCACCAGACTCACTTGCGTTACAGCAGATGATGTTTTTCAAAGCAGAAACATACCCAAATATTTCTTATATTCTCCCTCCCTCCCATTAACTCCCGTCTGCCTCTGCCTGTTGCAAGCTCCTCGCAGTCTCCCCGAGCAGAAGGCTGTGGAGTGGTTGTATTCTTTTAGAGCTGCATGTCTCCATTGACCAGATTCCTTACATGCTGGGGAAAAGCAGAGTGCTTAGGCCCCTTCCCCAGAGGAGCTTCTCAGGAAAGCTCTAGAGTCTAATGCCATCCACGGTGGAGATTCTCAAATGAGGGGAAAAAAAAAGTCTTCTGTACCCTTCCCACGTTTCCCACCCATGCTTTGCAAAATCGCGCTGTGTTTGCAACACATCGCCTTTGGAAATGTATATTTTGAAAGCTGCATATGTGTGTATTTTTCGTTCTAGTAATTCACTACGACGGGGTTGGAGAAAATAGACTCATGAAGGCAGCGCGGAGCAGCCGCCTTGAGTCTCCTTTGCCAGCCTGCGTCAGTCATCAGCTACTGACGTCACGTGCAGATTCTCCTCTTTGGTGGGTCTGGTTCAGCCGAGAAGAGGCTTCTGCTCAGAGACAGCGCTTTGTGTTCGGCGCAGCCACTGAGCAGGCGAGGCGACCAAGGCGGGCGCCACCCCAGGCTTGGGCTGGGCAGCTGCAGAGGAGGCTGCAGCCTCGTCTGCACCGGGCGTGCGGGGCCCCGAGGGCGTGTCCAGCAGGGCAGCCCCCTCCCCAGACGCCTTCTGCCGCCCAGTGCCAACTCGGCTCCGCACAGACTGGGGCGAACGTCCTTTCCCCGCCCTTTCGCGACTGGCCACTGTAGCAGAGACAGCTATGGCTATAACTCGGATTAATTCTGTGTGTTTGTCGGGCAGATAGCCCCGGCTCCTCGAGTGACGCAAATAACAGATTCTACGGCTCCCGCTCTCTCCTCTGCTCCCTTTCTTCTCCCTCCCCCCCGCTTCTTTTCCCTTTTCTGTTTCCTGAGCCCACGCATCCTGCTTGGTCTCCCACGGAATCAGGCAGCTACAGCTTCCCAGAGAGCAATAATCCGAGTTGCAGACAGACAGACTCACAGGGTGAGAAGAAATAAACCTGCAATTAAACAGACACACATATGCACAGCCCTTTGCAAACGGCCAGCAGCGTTTAGGGGCTCCCCTGCGTGGGGGGAGGGGCAGCGATTCACAAATCCTCAGGCCTCCGAGTTAGTGCTGGGAGGAGGGACGGGGACAGAGAGGCTAGGGACGGGGCTTGCTGCCGCAGCTCCCCCAACACCCGAAAAGGAACGCCCCCCTCCCCCCCCCCCCATAAATACCCAGATGGCAGGGTATTAGCGAATAAGCAACTTTAGTTGAATGGAAGGAGGAGAGATTTCGACAGACTGCACATGCTTCATATCCAGCGACATTATCAGGACTTTTTAAGACTAGGTGACGGTTTACCCTTTCTCCCTCTCAAAGACCAGGGGATCTTATTTTTCTTTTTCTTAAAATAACGTCCCTGAAAAATGAGCTCAATGGATTGGTGCTATTTTTAAACCAATCTGAATAGAGCTTGTTTCGTGAGGGTGACAAAGTGTGTGTGTACGTGTGTGCATGTCTGTGTGCGTTGTATTGGAATCTGAGGTTTCCAGCAGAAGACATGCCACACCTCAGCACGGCAAAGGGTTTATGGATTGCTGGAGTGATGGAGGTGGGAGGAATTCTTGCAGGTTGGAAGATCTGAACAAAATCACACACACATATCACTCTCCCCAAATCTACACGGCGTTCCAGATCCACTTCGCATCACCTCTGCCCTGAGTGGGGGGAAAGCCGGAAAGCTGAGAGCTAGTTACAGTTGTGGCTTGATGCATGGTTCATGTCCTTTATTAACCCTAATGATCAGCTTTCCCTGACAATGGTTTTCCTTGATGCCAATAAACAATTTTTCAGAGGTTACCACTAGGATTTGGGGCACAAGGCCTGGGAGAGAGTGATCACAGGGCTGATCTTTAATCAGCATGATCTTTAATATCCTCTCATCTCCCTCTTCATGTCCTCCTTGCTGTTGTAACTTGCTTTAGAGATTTTGGTTTAAGCTTAAGCCCATCTTGTACCCTCAATTCCTGTCTGTGGCTTAAGCCTTGCCTACTAAAGGGAAACGGGGAGATGGCTGCTCAGCACGGAGGACACCCTCTGGCAGCCGATCAGCAGCTGTTTATTTTTAGCTCCAGGAATGCATGTATGTATGCATGTGAGAATGCTGCTGCAGTGGGGAGGCGTCCAGTCAGGAGAAATATCAATGGGAGGGAGGTGGCCCTGGTTTTGCACCGTAGGTGGCTTATCCCCTGGGATCATCAGAGGTGGCCAAGGGACGGGATAACTTCCCCATCCTGTGTTGGCAACGCTTCAATGAAGTTTTCTTGGATTAATGAAAATGTGTTTTTAAAGGCACAGAATATGTTTTTAGAGATATGAGACTAGATATATGTAAGCATAAATTCTTGTAGGTGGGGACGTTCACAGAAATCATATAGTTCTTATATAGGCTACATAAAGTATAGAGAGAAGAGGTCATTTAGAATAACGTAACCTGCTTTCTGTGGTGGTTGGGTGCTATTATGTCTGATGTTGAGACCAAGGCAGGTTCATTTAAGATCACTTTGAGGGCCCCTTAAGGGTCAGCTTTCAGCAAACCCTGAACCCAGCCCTAACAAATAAGGTAGAGTTGGAAATAGAAGAAATGTGCTCAGACTCTGCATGTCAAAAATTTGAGAGCAGCAGCCAAAATACTAATCTAACCCTGGCCACCTGGTGGACCCAGCATCTCTGCTCGGCGTCCAGAGGAGGGCGCCCCTCTGCCTTGTCCCTGTCTGCTACTGTCCTCAAGCTAACTAGTTAGACTCCGGGGAGGCTGCCTGGGAAGCTCATTTGCAGCAAGTTAGTCCTCCGGCGCCAGCATCTCCATTTTCCGACACACCGGTCAGGTCTTTTGGTACATGCCTGGACTGCAGCTGGTGACCTTGGCTTTCCGAGCTGTCCCTCCATTCTTTGCTAAAAGTTGTGGTGCCCAATTCCTGTCTGAGCAGTCAAGCTAAGGACCCGGGGAATTAATAGACTGATGTGGAATCTGTCCAAGATGAAAACCGCCTTCTGCACTGCCAGTCCATCCCTGGGCATCCCAAGCATGAAGAGGACTCGTGTTCCCTAACGCTCCCCAGAGGGCCTGTGAGAGTAGGCTGCTGTCACAAAGCCCTTGAAAAGAACTGAGTCTCCTCTCTTTCAGGGTCAGTGAAGCCCAGAAATGTCCTGCCTCTGTCTCTTGTCTCCTCTCCAAGCGCCAAGAAAAATGCCAGGAGGTAAAGACCTGGATTTAGAGGAGGAAAAAAACCCAGCTCCCAGGAAATCAACCAAGGGGAGTCTATCAGGGAAAGTCCGGGAAAGAGATTCCTCTTTGCCTGATGGTGTCTCCATCAGGGAACAGAACTGTTTGGGCCTAAGTAAGAGACAGGGTAGGGGGAGAAGAAACCAACAGTCTTTGAGGACCTACTATGTGCCAGACACTGTGCTGGGTGCTTTTACATAAATAATCTTATATAATACTTAAGGCCATTCTATGGGGGTTATTATAATAATGTTACCTACCCCGGTGGGTTCTTGAGCACAGAAATCACTCCAAAAATACTAGTTATGATTTTTCCCACTTTCAAGTTAAGGAAACGGAGACCAGATAGTTTAAGTGATTTGTCCAAGAGTCTTAGGGCTTGAAGTTGTATAACTAGGGGTCCGATCACATTCGTGCCTGGGGGGTTCCAACCCTCATGCCTCTACCACTCCACCATGTTGCCTCTATTGCAATATCTCCTCTTTTACCTTCTGGTTCTAGGCCCCATCATTTGGAAGTGGAGATGTCTGGGACTTTCTCAGAAGTGATCTGAATAATAAAACGGACTTATTCCTCCTAAGGAGCATCTTAGCCAGTAGAACCCACACACTCCCCTGCAAAGCTACCTGCCTGTGAGAAGAGCTCCCTCCATCCTGTACCAAGGAAGCTCCAGCTGGTTCAGCCTCGTCTGAAACTCAAGGGATTTGTCCGAAGCCAGCCTGCGTGGAGTGGAGGTGCAGGGGATTTCATGTCCACTCAGGCTGCGACACCCAACCATGTTTCCACCTCCACTGAGGAAGCCCCTTGCATGGCACTGGGAAGGAGTTAGGAACTCCCCAGTTCAGGCTTCCAAGAAAGCTGTCTTAAGGTGAGAACAGCAGCAACTCTGCGTTTGGGCTGGCTAGGCATCCGAGTCCTCCTTCACCCCTTTAGAAACCGGCATGGTTGTTTTGCTGATTCTGAAAACTTTAGAGGCTAAGCCATTAGCGCAGTGGGGGAGATGAGCCACCGCATGCGTAATACAAGCTATTCTGGGATCCCCTTCCCCTGTTAAATACACATTTTCATCACTTACCCTGATCAAGAGGTACATTCGGTCTTGGGAAACACTTCTCAGAAGCCAGCATATTTGGAGGTTGAAGGTGATATTTTTAAAGACCACTTGCATGCTGGAGGAAAGTGACTAGAATTCCATCTCCCCTCCCTCCCCGCCCCTTTTTGTTGCCATTAGCGCTCAAAAGTCTCAACTCTCTATCCACCTGGAAGCAATCACAGTGTTCAACTTCAGAACAGTTAACTTTGCACATCTCCATCATCAAGGCGCAAGCTCTTTCAAATGCCCCCCTCCCCTCCCTACACCACTCTAACTGCTGGACACCTTGGAGAACCAGATGATTGGTTTTCCCATGCCTTGCAGGTGATAGGCACATTTGGGAGAATGGGGACCCAGAGGGTCACCCAGGAATATCTAGAGTGGTTTTCATGGTGAGGATCTAAGCAAAGACAAGGAAGCCAGAGCAAGCATGACAGGGGACTGCGGGGGTAGGGCTCAGGATGCCAGCGTGCTTTAGTTTAGCAGAGGCTAAAAGGAAAAGGACCAGAGCTTGAAAAGCATGGACCACGGGGCGGGGAAAGGAACAATCTGAGGGGTGTTTCAAGATTCCTGCTTGACTTTGGCCTTAATCTTGTGGTTGGTGGACTTGTCTGTCCCACCTGAACTCAGGGGGCAGGGAACTCAATCACAAATTCACGGGAGGTCTGGGGGTCTGAATTAGCTGAACTTTTTATCCTTTCACTATTAAAGCAGCCTTGAAATTAGCTGCTGGCCTACTGGGCTTGGATTGCTATGTCTGATAGGCCAATAGTAAAAAGTAGGCATTGCATTTCTGTAATTCCTAGTCAAATAAATATAGGGTGTGGAACAGAGGAAGAATGGAGTAACATATCTGCCAGATTGGCCAGTGTTTTGTACTTATTGGCAAAGCTATGAGTTAAATAACGATTTGGGTCTAAACCTTGTCCTAAGAAGAGAGACCTTCAGCTCACATATGAAAACCTGGCATCTTCCAGCACTTCTAGTTTACCCCTAGAGGTGCAATTAATGGGGGGGTGGGGGAGGTGGAGAAAATGCACTTTCTAGGTATAGTGGGTTTTCTGAGAACCATACTTTTTGTACTGATTGTCTTTGAGAAAAAGAGCACTCGGACCTCAACAAATTTTGATTTGGTTAATCCTGGGGGTCTGTTCTGTCTTGTAGAGGTCTAGAGTAACATCATGAGGTGAGACAAACATCTGTGGCTGGGCAGGGGGTCCCCAGGGGCATTCGGGTCAATAGGAACCAATAGAGGACGAATCTTACAGCCTAACAGGGTGGATCTGACACATCAGCACTGAGTTTCTGGGATCGCTACAAATCACCCAAGACAGTGCTTGCAAATGTCACTTACCTCACCATCCGGGAATCTGTGGCTCAGACCCCATGAAGAAAAGCCTTGGGTCTCAAATGAAAATGTCTAGAGTGAAGCCATTGCAATGTGGTAGAATGAGATGCAAATTTAATTGGAGAAAAAAAAATCTAGATGATTCCATCCTGTATTCAGGGACAATGCAATTCTGAGGATCTTTCTCTTTCTCTCCTCCTTACCCCCACACTCTCAATCGGTCCAAATAGTCATGAGTAAGCTCTTTCACTACACCTGACTGGGATTAAGGGAATTCCATCTGGTTTCAGTTACATCACACTCAGATACCTTGGGTACCATCACTGAGTGTGACTGCTCTGGAAGAGAGTCTTGCAACTCCATTTTGGAAGAGGTAGGATTTGCTGTGGTTTTCCTGACCTGGGGGCTGAA